TCCTTTCCTGTTTAGTTTTCCCTAGGCTAATGTGACTTCCTCTTTTGAATCCACAGGTACTTAAAACATTTTTTTAGACTAGCTCTTTTGTGACAGACACAGTTCCAGGTTCCCTACAACACATCTGTTGACTGGATAGTGTTCTCTCCAAACCAGGCTTCACAGAGGTCCCAGGACCTGCTCAGAGTCACAAGAGCAGCAAGTGGTGGACCTGGGACTCTGGATACATGATGGCCACACAGTGCTGGTTGTGCCTTCTTGTGTCACCTGCCTTACTTTGCCATCCACTATTTTTAATAGCAAAAACCTCAGTTACTTTTGCAGGAACTGAATATTGTGTGTGTGGGCATTTAATTCTTCTGCACATAAACTTTTGAGGAACTTTCTTATTTTTCCTTTCCGCTCTTGGCACCAAGCTTTTAATTTGAATTTTGGAGACAGTCTCAATTTTAAATATTTCATCCTACTATGCAAAGAAGTACTGTTGACCCACTTTGGGGCTTGTAAAGTGTGGTCATTGTTACAAATGCTTTGGACATTGCAGGCAATTAATAAATATCTGTAAAACTCAATGAACAATATGGGAAAACAAGCCAGGTTTATTTCAGATTTCAGAGACCGAGACAGTCATTCCAATGCAACTATAATGCTTTACTAAAACAAGCATAAATTTCAAGTGGTCACCAATTGCTAGCACTTACTTGTGTGTGTTTTGAAAGAATGATGCAATACAGAATAAGAAAGAGCAGCTTTTTACATCATTTTACCTCCAGTATCAGAACAGAAGGAAAAAGTCTGACCACGGTCTTTTTCTGTAACTGGTTTGTGACTATTTTTACTTAACATAATATCATTATTCCTATTGAACGTCCCCTCTGTTTAATTCTCACTCTTTAATTTCGGGCTTATTACATCTACTACTTTGTAAGAAATGCTAGCATTTTCTATTAACTACTCTACTATGCCCCTTTAAAGTGGCTTCTTATGGGAAACATGCCGTTTTAATAGACATTTGTAGAAACTGGAAATTGGAAATTAGAGGTACGAACTTATTTCTTCACTTAATTATTAACACTGATGACAGAGTCTCTGTCTGTCACCCAGGCTGGAGTGCAGTGGCATGATCTCAGCTCACTGCAACCTCCACCTCCTGGGTTCAAGCGTTTCTTGTGCCTTAACCTCCTGAGTAGCTGAGACTACAGGCACACCACCCTGTATTTTTTTTTTTTTTTTTTGAGACAGACTCTCGCTCTTTCGCCTAGGCTGGAGTGCAGTGACCGAATCTCAGCTCACTGCAAGCTCCGCCTCCCAGGTTCACGCCATTCTCCTGCCTCAGCCTCCCGAGTAGCTGGGACTACAGGCGCCCGCCACCTCGCCCGGCTAGTTTTTTGTATTTTTTAGTAGAGACGGGGTTTCACTGTGTTAGCCAGGATGGTCTCGATCTCCTGACCTCAAGTGATCTGCCTGCCTTGGTCTCCCAAAGTGCTGGGATTACAGGCGTGAGCCACCACATCTGCCCCCAATTTCCTTTTATACTCATTTTTTTCCTTGATAGCCTATGAAAAATACCTGTGTTCTCACCCGTAGTAGCATTTCCCAAACCATGTGCATGAATGACGAAGGATTAATCTCATTGGTGGAATGTGAATTCTTATCAATCAGAAACAGACCAAGGTGTGCTGTCTTATCATGACCTTTTCTCCTAGTCTTTGGGCCTACTTCATTTCAGAGTTCAGAGTTCAACTTCTGCTCTTAAATCTTAACACAGAGTTACTTTCTTCAAGTTCCAGGCTACAAGAGACTGCTGTGTTTGGAGGATACCTGTCATTTATTTGTAGGTCGAAATTCTTCTTACCTTTTCGTTCCACTTGCCTCCTCCCGTTCTAGATTTTCCCCCTTTGAAGTGAGATTAGTGTTTGTCCTAATACAGGGACTGGGGGAAAGTTCTCAGAGGATCTAACAACAGCAGCAATAGATAAATTAAATCGTACTAGGTACTGTCATTCAGAAAAGCTGTTTATAGACAGAGCTATTTTGAAGCCATTAAAAAATGCTATTCATCTCAAACTTGCCATCTGTCTTCAGCTTCTGGAATCGTCTACGGCGTTAGCGAAGAGATTAGTCTCTGCGGCCAGCTTCCTTCTAGCTCTCCCGTGACACTCAGGGAGGCTCTTATGGGAAGAAGGCAATTTATTTCAGCTGCACAACCACACGGCTAACTATACACAGCAATTATACAGAGCAAATGTATCAACTTCTGCCACGGGAGGCAGGAGTTCCCTTTCTGGTCATTAATAATGAACTCTTCAGTAAGTGGGGAAACATTTACCAAATAAAATGGCCTATTATAGATGATCCCCTGGGCAGCTGAGAAATCGTGTGACCGCTGAGGAAAGAGCGAAGCCAAAGAGGCTGATGTTGTCGCTCGACCTTGCTTGGTTGTCCTGGAAGCATCTCCGAACCGGCAGAAGATGTGACCTACTGGCTCTTTGTGCATAAGTGTCTAGTCCGAAAAGAAGTGGCCTGGTCTTTCCTATATTGAAATTCCATTGCTTCCTTTCCTGGCAGCTGCATAATTGGGAATGCCGTGAAATAAAAACGAGGAGGAAGAAAATTAGAGCCGGGAAGTGTCAAGTTGATCGACTGCCAAGTTGGGGGATGGGAGTGTCCGGCAAATTCAGATTCTTCCAGGACCCCCTCCCACCATGTCACCCCACCATTTAAAACACTTGTTCCTCACACTTCAGGAAGTCTCTGGAGGCTCCTAGCTGATCTAATGCTTAGACTATAACTTGGTCTACAGTGATGTATTCAGAGGACTCTTTTGCAGTCGTTTTAATGAGCGGAATTCCTGAAAAGGTGCTGACATTTTAATGCCTCCTATTGACACTTTACATTTAAAGACAACAGGCTTTGCACTGCATGCAAAATCCTTGCAAATCTGAATGCTCTGTGGTCTTAGCCACCTTGCTCAAACACGGGGTATAATTATTAATAGAATAGATGAGGGACATGTTCATTTGAATGCATCCTCATACTGAAGACAGCTGAGCATTACTTAATTGATGTTCAACACCCTTCAGAGGTAGGAGTGTATTACCCGGCTTCTCAGATGGATGACTTCAGGCAGTGGAATGATAAAATCCAAAGCCTCAGGGCAGAGATTGTGCCTTTGATGAATTCTGCAAAGGGCATAATGATGCAACAGTGATGGGAAAATAAAGCCATTAATAATAGTGTGATGAAACCTGTGGCTGCTCAGCTGCTTAAGAATGTAACCTAGCTCTGGTGTTTTGCCAAATTCCTTTAAAAATTTGGTCCACACAATCATACGTTTGTGAATTGAGAGCATGTATGCATTCCTTTCAATAAACCACAAAAGATGAGGCGATGAGAACCAACTTGACTATTTTGAACTTCAAAATGCCTTAAAAACTTTGGAAATAGTATTAAGTTTTAAAAAATTTAGTCATGAAACACATATTCATTGAAAGGCAATGATGTGCAAAGGATTGAACTGGGTGCTTAGTCCGTGCCCTCCTGGCTTACTATCCAACAGGAAATAAAAATATATAGTTCATCACCATACAGGCTGATCACTGCAGACAAGGGTAGAGACTGTATGTTATGGGAGAGGATTCACATGGGGGGCACCTCAGCCAGTCTTGGAGAGTAAGACAGGAGTCCCAGAGAAATCATATCAAATGATATTTAAACTGGTAGCTTAAGGAATAGTAGAAGTCAACCGGGGGAAGGAATGGGACTTGGTAAGGATACAGTGGACACGGGCTGCTATTTTAAAACTGCAGAGGAGAGAATGGATGCAGAATGTTAGTAAGACCAGGCAGTTCAGTTGGTTTAAGTCAGCTGTATCTTAGTGAAAGCCACCCAGTTATCCCTCCACACCTTTAGAAGTGAGGTCTCCATACAGAGATACTTCCCTTGAAAGAAGAAAGAGAGAGACAGAGAAGGAAAGAAGGAAAGAAAGAAAGAGGGAGGGAGGGAGGGAGGGAGGGAGAGAAGAAAGGAAAAGAAGATTAAGGATTGGTGAGGATTGGCAACCCGGTTCATAGATAATGTGCTACCATAGATAATGTGCTACCCGGTTCATAGATAATGTTCTTAGATAATGTGCATATGATAATTTATTCATAGATAAAATTTGGCAAGAGAGTTTGAGGAAAAATTTCTGAAGGAAGACTGACTCAACATGAATTTTTATAATGGTTCACTATTTATTATTTCAACTTTCTTTTTAGTTTATTAGGTTCATGGAAAAAAATTAGTACATTCAACAAAAGCAAACATTATTTTTCTTAGTTACAAACAAGCAATGTCAGACACAAGGAATTGAAGTGACATTTTCAATCTCATTCGGGCCTATTCTGGGGGACAGGTGGCAAGGTAGACACAAAGAGATGATAATACCTGTTTCATCCTGAACCTAATGAAATGGAATGAACAATAAATTCATAAATAAAGCCAACAAATTATTTAGGAACAGTGCTCTAACTTTGGAAGTATCTAGAAATGGAAAACTCTGGAAATGGATGCCTGGCCCAACATAAAATTCCTCCAGAAAGAGTTCTGTGGATATAATACATAGACAGAAATCCAGAACCATCTCCTTAATCTTACAATCCCCACCTAACTTCCATTCTGGGAGTGAGATATGCTACCCAGTTGGGAAAATACTATATCTTTTCTGATTAGAAGTTCTTCCTGGATACCTTGGATAAAGAGTATTCGACAGTGAAGGAAGAAACCACTAGGCTTACCATTCTATTTTTGTCTCACTGGAAAGAAGGCAAGAGGTCTAGTATTAAAAAATCACTGGGAGTTAAATTTTTCCACTAGCAAACACGGTTTTAACAGAACAAGAGGAAAAGAGACATAAAGTCACTGAGGATAGTGATGGTTCAAGGGAAGATGGAAAATGTATAGGAAACCCCACTGTACAATAAGGGCACATCATGTCCCAAATCCTTACTTTTCTTTCATTACATTCAAGCTGGAGTGGCATTAACTGCTGTGGGAGGCATGTGAGCCAGGATAGTTTTTAAAAGGGAGGACAGATTGTCCCCAAAAGAAGCAATGGCTTGGTGGCCCAGCTTGCATGAAGGACTAATCCAAAATTTGAGGGCATCTCTCAGGGGACAAGACACATTTCACCCTTTAACAGAATTCCAGAGAAGAGAGCTAAATCAGAGATCAAATTCACCAACTGCAATTAAACACAATCTTAGGTTTACTCCTTCCCCTTGCCACAGCAAGAGAAAAGCAGAACATAAAACTAAAACTATTAGAGCACCAACAGAGGTAAAGGTTGGGAAAGAAATCAGGAAAAATCTATCTATATAATTCTGGGGAAAGTAAAAGGTCTGGATAGAGTTGTTCCCACCAAATAAAAATAAAATAAAAGAAATAACAACAAAATTATGTAATGATATGATGACAAACTAAGGAAGAAATTAGCATAGGGAAGACAAAGGGAAGGAAAGGGAGGGCGAAGAAACTGTTTTTGAGGAAAACAGAGGAAACAGGAATACTTTCTACTCTAAATGTTTTACACTATCAAAGTACTGAAAGAGGATATAAAATCTATAAGACAGGAGTTCCAAGATAGATCTTGGTTTAAAGTTAAATATTCTAACAGTTACATAGTATTCTACATTCCCACCTATACATATTTATATAGTTTTTTTTTAATCAATTAAAATTTAAACATAAAGTTACTTTCACATTTGTCTACAACCACAGTAAATACAGTTCTTGGCATAAAGACAATTTAAAACCTCCCCACCTGCAAGATTACATATATAAAACTCCCACCATTGTTTATATAATAGTGGATTAATCAAATTAAAAGTTATACTATCTAGAATAAAATAGAATGAAAATAATTTACTCATAAGATTCATATTTAAATCATCCTCATTTATAAAATACTATCCTGAGAATTATAATTCCATTAAGTTTCAATCTGAACAGAAGTGTAATCACTTAAGTAACAGCAGTTACTTAAACTGAAAATGAGATCAGTCAAAATTACTTTTGAAGAGGGCAAACATGTTGTCAGGTTTCTTGCTGTGTTTCTGGATGTTCAGTAGCAGGCTCATTTGAAGTCGGACTCAACCCTGATGGAAACTCATTCTGCCTTCAGAATGTGGTGGTGGTGGGGAGGAAATTCAGGTCTTGGGGGACGGTAAGGAGGAAAACCCCTGGGCGGATAGACATTTGTCATTGCAAATGGAGCATGTGGTGGACTGGGGACAACACTTGGTGGGCAATAATCTCAAGAAGCTCCAAACATGGTTCCTGAGGAGGTGGAGGGAAAGGAGGTCCTCTTCTCATGAACGGGCCTCTTGTATCTACTGGAAACGATGGACCTCTGATTGGAGCAAGAGGTGGAGGAATAAAGCCAGGCCCAGTTGCTTCATTTTCAGTGGGGAGAGATGAATTAGGCACTTTTAAATTACCAAGATTATCTTTGCTATCATTTCTACCGGATTCCATTTCTGAAGGCACTGACCCATCCAATTTACCCAAAGAAGGTGTATTAAAACATCTAAGTTCTGTTGGTCCAAAAACTATTAGAGCACCAACAGAGGTAAAGGTTGGGAAAGAAATCAGGAAAAATCTATCTATATAATTCTGGGGAAAGTAAAAGGTCTGGATAGAGTTGTTCCCACCAAATAAAAATAAAACAAAAGAAATAACAACAAAATTATGTAATGATAGGATGAAAAACAAAGGAAGAAATTAGCATAGGGAAGGCAAAAGGAAGGAAAGGGAGGGCGAAGAAACCGTTTTTGAGGAAAACAGAGGAAACAGGAATACTTTCTACTCTAAATGTTTTACACTATCAAAGTACTGAAAGAGGATATAAAATCTATAAGACAGGAGTTCCAAGATAGATCTTGGTTTAAAGTTAAATATTCTAACAGTTACATAGTATTCTACATTCCCACCTATACATATTTATATAGTTTTTTTTTTAATCAATTAAAATTTAAGCATAAAGTTACTTTCACATTTGTCTACAACCACAGTAAATACAGTTCTTGGCATGAAGACAATTTAAAACCTCCCCACCTGCAAGATTACATATATAAAACTCCCACCATTGTTTATATAATAGTGGATTAATCAAATTAAAAGTTATACTATCTAAAATAAAATAAAATGAAAATAAATTACTCCTAAGATTCATATTTAAATTATCCTCATTTACAAAATACTATCCTGAAAATTATAATTCCATTAAGTTTCAATCTGAACAGAAGTGTAATCACTTAAGTAACAGCAGTTACTTAAACTGAAAATGAGATCAGTCAAAATTACTTTTGGAGAGGGCAAACATGTTGTCAGGTTTCTTGCTGTGTTTCTGGATGTTCAGTAGCAGGCTCATTTGAAGTCGGATTCAACCCTGATGGAAACTCTTTCTACCTTCAGAATGTGGTGGTGGGGGGTGGAAATCCAGGTCTTGGGGGACGGTAAGGAGGAAAACCCCTGGGCGGATAGACATTTGTCATTGCAAATGGAGCACGTGGTGGACCGGGGACAACACTTGGTGGACAATAATCTCGAGAAGCTCCAAACATGGTTCCTGAGGAGGTGGAGGGAAAGGAGGTCCTCTTCTCATGAACGGGCCCCTTGTATCTACTGGAAATGATGGACCTCTGATTGGAGCAAGGGGTGGAGGAATAAAGCCAGGCCCAGTTGCTTCATTTTCAGTGGGGAGAGATGAATCAGGCACCTTTAAATAACCAAGATTATCTTTGGTATCATTTCTACCGGATTCCATTTCTGAAGGCACTGACCCATCCAATTTACCCAAAGAAGGTGTGTTAAAACTTCTGAGTTCTGCTGGTCCAGAGCGTCTAGCAGAATTAGAATGAAATCTGTCTTGCCTTTGTGGAGGAAAAGCTGAATCAGGATATGACTGTCCCGGTGGAGGAAACACCATCCTATGGTCCTGTTCCCACAGAGGCGACAGGAGCCCAGTGCCAGAAGGAGCCCTGTGAGGACTGGTTAACCTATCACAGCTTGCTTCTCCTCTTTCATTGGTCATCTGACAGTCCAGAGGATTCCCTGGGCCTCCTGGGCCTCTTCCTCCTCCCCCTGGAAGCAAAGGTGAGCGTCTCAGTGGACCCTCCAACAAAGTCGGAGGATAGAGAAAAGCTCTCATTTCAGATGAAGGCTGACCCATTTCAGATGAAGGCCGACCCAATGGTGAGGGAGCATATGGGGAATGCTCTCTGCCAAATGCTGTATTTGGAACATCAAGTGCATGACGATCTTTTTCTAAAAGTTTTATTTTAAACTCTATATCAGTTAATTTTTGTCTGTTGTGAGCATTTTCTTTCCTCAAATCATTGAGGTTTCTTTCAGCAGTCCAAGCTGCCAACCAATTATTATGTGCTTTTTTCTTATGGAGAATACTCTTCCTTCGATAAAAATGAATAGTTCTCTCAAATTCTTCAAGATCTTTGGCTCGCTTTCTGTAGGTCTTCAGCTCTTCAGTGGCATGGCTGATTATTTCATCTGCTTTAGAAAGTTTCTCTTCTTTCTCTAACCGGCATTTTTCCTCTACTATTAATTTCCTGTAGAGTTTCGTTTCATTTTCTTGACACAATTCAGTCATTACTTTAAGTTTCTGTTGAAGTTTCTGATTCTCACTTTCAAAATGTGTGCTTTCTGACTGCAAAGATGCTTGTTCAGTCTGAAGATTTTTAATATGCTCTGTAAGCTCTTCCTTTGTTTTATCAACTTCAGATAATTGAATATAAATTTGGTTTCTTTCTCCTTCTAAGGTTTTTAAAGAAGCACATAACGTAGCAGCATGAATCAGTTTCTTCAAAGCTCCTCTTGGAGGATTATCTAAGTAAGCACCATCTTCCGATTCATTGTTCATTTCTAATTCCAAGTTATCATCAACCGTTATGTCTTCTCGAAGCGTAGCAGTCTGATCTTTCATCTTTAGCAAGCGTTCAGTCAGAGTCCTGATGTGATTTTCTTTATCATTTAAAACTTGTTCTGCGTGTACTTTGGAGTCTTCAAATGTTCTTTTCTGTTTAATAAGTTCACGCCCTTGTTCTTTCCATACTTCAGCTTCTTGCAAAAGCTGTTTCTGGTTTTCCTGAAGTTGATAATTTTCATTCAAAGCATCTTGTATTTCTATCTGCAGTCGTCCTTCATTCATTTGAAATCTCTTAAAAGTCATTTTGGCTTCAGCTACTTGTGATTTGAGGGATTTTGACTCATCTTCTAGCGACCGTATCCTTTTGGAAATATCTGCCATCAATTCATTTTGTTCAGAATGTTTAGATTTCTCTTCTTTTAACTCTTTTTCTAGACAGAGTATATCATGCTGAAGTTCAGAATTGAACCTGTTCAGCTTTTCACAGGTTGCCTCCAAACTTTGTGCTTCTGTTGTCGCCTTCTCAAAGCTGGCATCCTGTAAAGACGACTCTGCTTCATAGGCTTCATACTCTTTTTGAACAAGGCTGCATTTTTCAAGTAGTTTACATTTTTCTTCAATTAGTCCAGAAAGTGCCACAGCAAGCTTTTTCTCTCTTCTCACGTAAAGCCGACTCGTAACTGATCTAAAACTTCTCCACAAGAAGAGAACAGCAAAAAATCCCACAACAGCTGCCGGTATCACCAATTCCCACGGAAAATCATAAGGATGAGAATCTGGTTTCATACCTTCAGGCAGTGCTGCCACAACCCTGCGCAGCAACTCCAAGACTAGCCCCAAGTAGGGCTGAGGGTTGGCCTTAGGCTCCTCCATAGCACCAGAGCTGCTGTGGCGGTCGCTGCAGTAACCCCGGCCACAACAAGCGGCGGCGAAGACGCAGCATTCCATCTGGAACCCGAATCCCCAACGGACAACCGGAGCGTACCACTGCAGAGCCGGCTGCGGGGGCAGCTAGGGGACTCGGGCACACATAGGCCTCACAGACCCACATTGCCCACCCCGGCCCCCTTGTTACACTTTACATCCTGAGGAAACGCTAAAACCTGTATTTTAAAACAACACTACATGGAGAGAAAGACTTAGGTGACCCAGCATCCCAGCTATGCCCGTCCCAAGCTGACACCCTAGCTAAATGTAGCCTTGTGCCTGACCCCAGGTGAGGCCGGCAGAACCTCCCAGCTGACAGAATGATAAGGAATAACAAATCATTGTTTTAAGTCACTAAACTTTGGGGTCATTTGTTATGCAGCAGTAGCTAGCTGAAATACTTGCCCCTTTATCACTTTGGTGTTTCAGTATCTGTGGTCTGAAATCATTAATTTGGGTGTTTGACTAAGATTATGCCTCATGGTAAGTTCTGATAGGTAATTTTATAGCTAAAATACAAATTTTCTGATTGACCTTTGCTTCATTGAAGAGATATTTATTTAGCTCCTGCCAAATGAGACAGATTATGCTTTTTAGGTTAACTTCTTCCAGGAGAGGGCTCACCTCTGCCTAGCATGATCCTCAACTGTCCCACCTACAACTGAAAAACACTAATCTCATCCCCAGAAGATCCAGGGCACTTAGAACAGTGCTGGCACATAGAGAGTGATTCTCTTACCTGTCCATCAAACTTACCTGCTCTGTGTCCATTTCTGAAACACTGGCACTCCTTCAGCACGTATGATGCCTTGCCCTGCAATAAGCCATCATCTCCCACCCATGCACATACCTTCAACTCATCTGGAAAGCTCGCTCCTGCAGCGATGGGTATCCCAACCAGCTTACAAGTCAGTGCCAGGACCAGGTTGATGCATATTCTCTGGACAGTCATCTTGGAAAGGTGAATGCTAGCCACCATGTCCAGCAAATCATTTCTGATGAGGATGACGTTGGCTGCCTTGATGGCCACATCAGTGCTGGTGCCAATGGCAATACCCACATCTGCCTGGGCCAAGGCCGGGGAATCATCGACCCCATTCCCTACCATGGCAACTTTCTTCCCTTCGTTCTGGAGCTCCTGAACCTTGGCCACCTTGTGCGAAGGAAACACCTCTGCAAAGACTTTGTTGACGCCAACCTGGGTGGCAATGGCTCTGGCTGTCTTCTGTTGTCCCCCGTGATCAGAACCATGTCCACACCCACGCTTTGCAGTGTGTGCACAGCCAGGGCGGCCTCCTGCTTGACAGCTTCTGTGATAGAGATCATCTTACAGAGCATACCTTGACAAATTGCAGAAGTACCTGCTCCCTTCGCCGGCCACCATCTTCTGCCCAGATATGTATACAGTTCTTATATTTTCATTATTAAAAGGCAACATGCTGACTGCATTAAAATTTAAAGCCTCTGGGTGACAAAACCGTTATAAGCAAAAACAAAAACAAGTGAACAGACTTGGAAAATATATGCAACATATAAATTGACAAAGGAATAATATTCAGAATATATAAAACACTAGGCTGAGTGCGATGGCTCACCCTGTAATCCCAGCACCTTGGGAGGCCAAGGCAAGAGGATCACTTAAAGTCAGGAGTTCAAGACCAACCTGACCAACATGGTGAATCCCCGTCTGTATTAAAATTACGAAAACTAGCCGGGTGTGGTGGTGGACGCTTGTAATCACAGCTACTCAGGAGGCTGAGGCAGGAGAGTCTCTTAAACCTGTGAGGTGGAGTTTGCAGTGAGCTGAGATTACACCACTGCACTCCAGCCTGGGCGACAGAGCAAGACTTTGTCTCAAAAGGAAAAAAAAAAAAAAAGAACTACAAATCATTAAGAAAAATATAGTTAATCGAGTAGAAACAGTAGACAAAGGTATGTATGAAGAGACAGGCAATTCTAGAGGACGGAAATCAAATGTCCAGGGAACACATAAAATGATACTCAACCTCACTAATTTAAGAAAAAGCAAATTAGAACAATAGGGTATGCATTCTACTTTTGAAAAGATGAAGTAGAAGTATTGCCCCCCATTTCTCCTGCTAAGTACAGTTAAAAAAGATGGACAGTAGATATAAAACAACATGAGAAGACTGAACAGTGCAGAGAAGAAGGCAGACCAGCTAGAGATCTCAAAATCTGAGAAACAATAGGGCGGTGACTTCCGTGGGTTTTATTTTTGTCCCAAAGATGAGATGCTAAAGAAATGGGCAACCAGTAAATGCCACAGACATAGAGCAGGGAAAGCCTCTCTCTGGTTAAAAGACCAAAAGAGGGGCAGCCTAGCAAGACAGAAAACTCTTACGTATGAACTGATCTTTCCCAGCAGAGGCCACAGAAAAAAATTGTGGCCCACTCCGCCTCTGCCAGCGAAGTCCAAGAGGGTAACTTAAACTTCCACTCTGGAAAATCTCTACTGAGCACTCCTTGCTTCCCCACAGCCCCTCCCCCTGTGACATGGTTTGGCTGTGTCCCCATTCAAATATTATCTTGCATTGTAGTCCCCACTGGAGGGATTCAGTGGGAGGTGATTGGATCATGGGGGCAGTTACTCCCTTGCTGTTCTTGTGAAAGTGAGTTCTCATGAGGTTTTATAACGGGCTTTTGCCCTTTGCTCAGCACTTCTCCTTCCTGCTGCCATGTGAAGAAGGATGTGTTTGCTTTCCCTTCCCCCAGGATTGTAAGTTTCCTGAGGCTTCTCTATCCATGCTGAACTGTGAATCAATTCATCCTCTTTCCTTTATAAATTACCGAGTCTCAGGTATGTCTTTATTAGCAGTGTGAGAACAGACTAATACACCTTGTCGAGGTGGTGATGTCAGAGAAGGCCAAGGGAGGAGTCTGGTCTGGACTTTTTCTCCTCCTGGTGGTAATGAACCACTCTCATGTCCATCATCGGAACCACTTGGGGAGCCTGAACTCTCACCCCCTATGTAAGGACTCGTATCTAGAATACATAGATTTATAAAAGACACTCAAATATCACTGTAAAAGAAGCATAAACATCCAATTATAAAATGAGCAAAATATATGAAAAGACACTTCATAGAAGTAGACATACAGATGGCAAATAAGTTCATGAAAAGTTGTTAAGCATCACTGGCATTTAGGGAAATGTGAATTAAGACCAGCAAACAATACCACCAGACACTAATTAGAACAGCTAAAATAAGACATGGTGGCAACACCAAATGGTGGCAAAAATGTGGAGAAATTGATCTCTCACACATCACTGGAGGGAATATAAAATGATACAACCACTCTGGAAAATAGTATGTCCGTTTCTTAAAAAACTAAACGTATGCTTGTGATGTGACCTAGCCCTTACTGCACCCTTGGCATTTCCCAGAGAAACAAAATCTTGTGTCCCCACAAAAACCTGCCCATGGTGCTCATAGCAGCTTTATTTGTGATATCTCCAAACTGGAAACAACCAAAATATCCTATGATAGGTGAAGGATTGGACAAACTACAGTAATATCTACCATGATATACTACTCAGCAATAAAGAGGAACAAATTATCAGTAAATGCAACACCTTAGGTGGATCTCAAGGGTATTACTCTGAGTGAAAAAAGCCAATCTTCAAAGGTCACACACTGTATGATTGTATTTATATAATTGTATGAAAATGACACAATTATAGGGATGGAGAACAGATAAGCAGTTAGAGTTGGTGGGGATGGGCAGGTCTGACTATCAAGGGGTAGCATGAGGGAGATCTTTGGGGGAATGAGATAGTTCTATATCTTAATTATGGTTATGTTTCCATGGATCTGCACATATAGTAAAATGACATAGAACTATACATTCTTTATACCAATGTTGATTTTCTGGTGTGATATTGTACTATAATTATATTAGAGGTAGCCATTGAAAGAAACTGAGTAAAAGGGACAAGGGACCTCTCTGTACTATCTTTGAACTTCCTATTAATCAATAATTATTTCAAAATAAAAAAATCAAGGCAGTATGATTCTTTATCCATCAAATTGGAGAACACTTTAAAACTTGATTCAATTAAGTTTGGGCAGAGTTCTAGAGAACAAGGATAGTCCTTCTGAAGGGCAATTGGTAGTGTTTATTACAGCTTAACACATGTACAATCTTCCAAGGGATTCTAGGAGTTCTGTCTCAAAAAAACACCGATGTGCACTGGAGAGAGACATGCAAGGCTATTCATTGTGGCATTGCTTGTATGAGTGAAAAAATTAAAATAGCCTAAAAGTCCATCAAAAGTGGAATAGTTAAACAAATTATGGTATATTCATATAATACAATACGGTAATTAAAAGGAATTAATTAGATACACTTGTAAGAGCATGATGTGATTTCAAAAACACTGTGTTGCATGAAGAAAGCAAGATACAGAATGACACATAAGGGATGGTACTTTTAGAGAAAACACATAAAGCAATACAGTCTTCTTCAGGCAAATACATATGAATTACAAAAATGTCAAGATCAAAGGTAAATACTTCACACAAAAGCCTAACCATCTGGTCACATCTGGTCAGGAGACGAGGGGAATATGAGATGAATATACTCATTAGGTATTACCTGGATGTTAAAAATTATTATGACCCTGAAGTTATTTTTTAAAGTTTATTTTATTTTTTGTTTGTACAGTGGTTCATCTGAAACTAGCGATTATTAATATGTTGATATTTTCCTTTTACTTTTCTTCCTGTTCGTGTGTGTGTGTGTGTGTGTGTGTGTGTGTGTGTATGAATGTTTGAATGCAACATTTTTAGACACTTAAAGGTATAAAAGCTGAAAAGAGAATATAACATCTCTATTTATTCAGCACCTACTATTTGCCAGGCTAGCGTCCTGTGAGTATTACAGACATTACTCCTAAATCTCACTAGAATCCTATAAATTGCTGTTCCCTCCATTTTACATGGATAAGCTGAAGATAAAACTAAGGATAGAAGAGATGAAGCAACTTGCTCAAGGTCACAAATTTGGTCAGAGCAAAGAGCCTGGACCTGTGTCCAGGTGAGGTGCCTTCTGAGCTCATGCTACTGCT